CCAGGCAGGTGATGCACCTCCCAGGCAGGTGATGCGCCCCCAGGCAGGTGATGTGCCCACAGGCAGGTGATGCGCCCCAGCAGGTGGTAGGCACTGCGCCTCCTTGTCTTTGGGATCGTCCCAAGGGGCTAGGGCAGGCAACCTCAGTCTCAGGCTGCAGTGAAGGGACCCAGGGTCGAGAGCCTAGGTGGCTTCTCTGTGTCTGCGCCCCACATACAGGCCCACTGAACCCTTTGTCCATCCTTGGGGTGCAGTAGTACCCTAGAGGCAGCTGTCCTGAAAGGAACACCAGAAATTCATTCTCCCCAGAGAGACTTGGTGCAAGAGGCGGGGGCTTCCCCCACCTGGAGGGCTGGGGGCAGAGGTAGGCACTGAACTTGGGGCCCAGCAGGCAATGGCTGTGAGTGCTAGTCTTGGGGGGGCTGGAAAGAGGGGGCGCTCCCTATTCAGAAGGCTGCAGAGGGCCACAGCCTCAGCATTCAGAGCCCTGGTTTCTGCCAGCTGCCAACTCCCAGGAGCAGCAGGCAGGGAGGGGCCTCGGAGACCTAGCCTCAGGGCACGGGGCGCCCAGGGACAGACCCCAGGCCGGCCCCTCCCCGTGAGCGTCCCCTCAGTCAGGGCGGCCTCGGTGAATGAACTCAGCTGGCTAATCCATCCCTCTCTGGCGGCTCGGGAGGCAAACAGCCCTGGAGCGGACGCAGCGCTGGGGAGCACCTGCTGGGCCCTCCTGAAGGCGCCTGCCCGCGCGGAAGTGGCGGCATGGGCCGAGGCGGCGGCCAGCTGCCGGTGCCCACACGCTGGAAGTGCAGCTCCGAGCTGGTGGTTATTTCTCTGCACCCGGTGACCTCCCAGGGGTGACGCGAGGGGTGCGGGAGGTCGGGAGGTCGGCCCTGGGGAAGTGGGGGAGGGGGGCCCTGGCCCATCCTGGGGGCACGGGAGCCACCGTCTCGCCACCTCCACCGGCTCATCCTCTCCGAGGCCCAGCGGCCCCAGTCAGCCACAGGAGTGGGCGAGACAGGCCTGGAGGCTCCTGCACACCCTGCTTTGGGCCTCTCAGCAGAATGGGGCGCTATTTAGGCACAGGTGGGGGGCAGCACCCAGGGAGAGCAGGAGCGCAGGGAACTGAACTTGGGGACGGACCTTCCCTGAAAATGGCCTGTGTGGGCAAGCGTGGGGTGGAGGAGGGGAGGGAGGGAGGGTCAGTGGGGCAGCCAGCGGCCAAGGAGGCCAGGCTGGGCTTCTGTCTACTGTTGTAGCTCTTACCCCCTTGATGAGAACATTTGAGTGTTCAAGTGTTCAAGCATCTCTGCTCTTTAGTAAGGTGTGAGCTATTTAGCATGAAGCGACGTGTCGAGTATGAAGTGGAGTCATGACGTCACTGCACAGACCCACTTCAGGGCAGGACGTGACAATCCCCATGACAACGCTCTCATTGCAGGCCAGGCCTTCGGCAGGCCCTGTCCCCTCAGCACCACAGGCGACACAGGGCTTGCTGCTGCTGGCAGTTGTCCCAAGACCTGGGCTCCAGAGACACAGGAACTTACACTAAAAATGGGGTGGGGGGCCCTCCCTGGGGCGCAGCGGGTTAAAGCCCAGCACTGAGAAGCTAAAGCCGCTTCCGCATGAGTTTGATTCCCACTTGCCCCAGAGGTGACCACAGGGTGTGGCAGACCTCTCCTGACCCGCCCGCTGCTCCCCTCAGCAGTGGACTTCGTCCATCTGCCTGTTCTGCTCCCTACTCTGTCTCTGGTGAAGCCTCTCATCACCCCTGAGCCTCTGGCCTGTACCCCAGTTCTGTATATAGAAATAAATAAATCTTTAAAAAAAAAAAAAAACCTTGCAGACAATTCTTCCCTCACTGCCTGGATCCAGAGCGGACAGTTGTGACCACTAATTCCTTCAGCTCTTCTGCTTCATTTATGCAAAAGTTAGCATTTGAAGTGGGCCTACTGAAAAACTGGACGTAGAGTACAAAATTTCTGAACAGAAGAGAGGAGTAAAACATGTACGTGGAGAACTAATAAAAATAAAAATCAAGAAAGGAAGGAGGAGATTAAAGAGCCCGATGGCAAAAAAATAAATATGAGGGCCTTCCCTGGTGGTGCAGCCGGTTAAAGCACAGCACTAAGAAGCTAAAGCCGCTTCAGCATGAGTTCGATCCCCGCCTGGCCCGGAGGTGACCACATGGCGCGGCAGACCTCTCCTGACCCGCCCGCTGCTCCCCTCAGCAGCGTCCTTCGTCCAGCTGCCTGTTCTGCTCCCTGCTCTGTCTCTGGGGAATATTCTCACCGCCCTTACATCTCTGGCCTGTACCCCAGTTCTGTGTGCATAAGTAAATAAATCTTAAAAAAAAAAAAATGGGGAGGGGGCGGTTCAGTCTGGGGAGAGCGTGCCAGCTGCTTCAGCCTAAAATCGGCCTCCTCAGCTGTTAGGGGGCCGAGCGACGGGGCCACCGTGGCCACTTTTCAGGAAACCATAAACCGAGCCGAGCCGCCCAGCACGGCGTGGCCTGGCTTCTCGAGACACCTGTTAAGTCCGGGTTACGTGAGGGTCGCGCCCTGAGACCCGGCTCAGCTTTTGCTCTCCCTGGTATTTTCACTTACGCGGAGCAGCTCAGACTCAGGGGTCCCAGCGCCACGGTGGTGGAGGCCTCGGAGCCCGGCAGCGGCCGGTGCCCTCGGGCTGGCTTCTGCGGTGACCCTGACAACGCCAGGCCCTGCCCGGCTTTCAGGGAGCCTCGGCTCCCAGCCTCTCGCTGCGTGTGGCATCTCCCAGCCGCCGACGGCCGCGGGGCTTGGAGAAGGAACACCAGTTTTGTCTGTTTCCCGTGGAAGTGTCTCCCCGGACAGCATGGTTTACTTTACGCCACGCCTGCTGGAAGTCAGCAACCCACACTAAGCAGCATAAACCAAGTGGCTCCACCTGCTTTTGCTGCCTCCTGGACTGTGCCGCCACAGGCCGAGTCCCTCCCGAGGGCTCGCGGCCCAGGGTGGGACGGCTGGGCCTAGGGGTCCGAGGTCGCAGGCACGGAGCTCCTACTTGAGCCCCCCACTCCACGAGCAGCTCCCCCCTTCACAGGGCAGCTGCCCCGACTCTGGCCCCTGCGGGAGCCCCGGCTCCAGCGGGACTCTGGGAGGGGACGTTCGCGGCCGCCCGGTGGAAAAGCGTTTGTGTCCGGCCTCGCCGCAGGCAGCAGCCAGCACCAGCGCCTGGCTCCGGAGATGCTTCCTGGGCGCCGCTGTTTCCTCCACCCATCAGCCACCAGGGTCCTTTATTACACCCGGGGAAACTGAGGCTTGGAGGCGCAGGAGCCCCGGGATGGCACGGACCCTGAGCATTTGAGTCAGACTCTGAAAGTGCTTGCACACCTTTCGGTCCAGCACAGAGACTGTCCAGCTTACGGCTGATCCCACGAGCTCCAAGTCGCACCCGGAGGGACTCGGTTCTGGCCCCTCATTTTTCCTCTAGAAAGTGGACCTTTCTCAGCGGCAGGTGCAGGCCTAAATGGCCTCCCCACACCCACTGCTGACTGGTCAGGAGTCACGAGGGACGCTGCCCTGTCGGGAGGGAGGAGGACTCGGGAGCCCGAGACGGAAGCCGCCAGGTTAGCACAGAGCTGCTCAGCACCGCCTGGCCGGATGAGATGGCCAAAGTCACGGCCAGTCATGGTCCTTGTCATAAGTGAGAGGCTGGGGCTGGCTGGGCTGGGGCCGCTTTCTAAAGGACTCAGCCCCAGTGGCTGGCAGACTCCTGAAGGGGAGCGGTGTACTGGGACCGGATGCCCACACGCCACGCACGGCAGAGACACTTGAGCCAAAGACGCAGAGACGTGGACCCTGCCCGGGCCCCGCTAGGACCCCCCCCCCCAGCCAGCTTGGGACCCCGCCCCCCACTCAGAAGAGGCTCCAGGGCAAGCTGAACCAAACCATCCACAGAAAACGTCCCCAAACGTTTGCTTGTATAAATAATTTATTTCTGCTCACAGCATCATATACGCATTATAAAAGGGAGACAGGAGAGGATGGCCAGGACAGGCAGTTACAGCAGTGGAGGCGAAAGCGGGGACCAGAACACAGCCCGGGTCGGGGCAGACAGTCTGGGGCTCAGTCCCCCGCTGTCACGAGGAAACACTTCAGCCACCTCCCCGAGGACCAAGGACGGAAGTGTCCTCCGTCCCTGAGGGCTGGTGGCCGGGGTCTCCCGTGACCAGACCAGGGTCAGACATGACGCGGGCCTCTACCAGGTCGGACACGAGGAAAATCAACGCAGACTCTTAACTACCTGTTGATACACCACAGAGTCTTTACGGCACAATTACTAACAGTGACTGCACCTTTAAGTACTGATAATGCAAAACACAAAATCATCTTGCCTCCTTTGTCAGGCGGGACAGGACGCAAACCGTGACCTCGAACCTAAGTATTGTTAGCACGAGAAGGCGACAGTATTTGGCATCTGCAATGTCACAAAATAAATATATTATTCTCTCCATAGTGTGGAACTACCAAAATGTCAAAGTGCTTAAGAAATTGCTGCGTGTGAAGAAAATAAAGGAAGATGGATTTTTCTTTTCATAACTCTATACAGAATCTTCAGGTGACGGGACCAGCCCATTCAGGGTGTGCCCTGGGGTGTAAACTGAAATCTTGCAGGCTTTGCAACACTGCTTCGCTGTTTTCCCAACTGGGTTTCCACAAACGGCCGGCACTGGACGGGGGGGACGAATGCATTGGCGAAAGAGAAGAGCTGTTAGGTGCCTCCGTTTAAAATGTGTAATTATGCGTTGGGATTTCGGCCAGAACTTCCACCCCGGCTCTCGGGGGGACCTTCTGGGGGCCAGGGGACAGGAGGCCCAGGTTGCCAACGTGACTCACACGCTCACACACCATCACGCCCGATTCCACAGGCCTCCTTCTAGAGAAATGTCTAGTGGGGGTGGGGGGAACCTATTTTACCTGTAAACATGGATTCAAAGAGGAAATGAAAATCCAAGAAAGGTTAGTTTCCCCTTTGGACACTGCCTTGGGGTGCGTGACAGGCTTCCGCAAACCGAGAGGCACCCTGACAATAAAGGGTTTTTAAAATGACATTATTAAAAATATGCAGTTACTCTCCTTTCCCTTTATTCTCCAAAGCCTTTCAAGTAAACCGAAGTGCCTGAGTGCAGGTGAGTGACGTCACAAGCTCGCTGGGACCCCAGTGCTCGGCGGCGGCTGCGCAGGTCAGCCCCGAGCTGGGCAAGGACGGGCCCTCCCCTGCCTGCCGGCCGCCTGCCGATGCATGCAACGAGGTCAGCTTTTGCCACAAGGTGGGCTTTTATTTCCTGGGGCACGTTTTCAGTGAGACACTTAGAACCAGGTCGGCCACAGTGAACCAAACCAGAAAGCTGAACAGGTCACCTGCAGCGTGAAGGGGTATAAAGGGGCGGAGCGAAGGCTTCTCCCCCAGCGGTGACCATTTCTAGGTGAGTATTTGTTTACAGAAGTTCTCTTCAAAAGCCAATAACCCGACCCAAACCCACCAGCATCAGAGCTTAGATGACAAGAGGCAGCCACTTGCGACTGGCACGCCTCTGGCAAGAAGCTGAGGCTCACACCAGGGCCTACGATCTCTTGGGTGAGGCCGTCTGGGCTGGGGACGGGAAGCTGCAGCGACACACACCCCGGCAGCATGTGTGCCAGGGCTTTACCCTTGAAACTCTGAACCATCCTGCAGAACAGCAAATGCATATGCACCACCACCGCCAAGTTTATTTTTGATTTTTATTGGTCTCTTTGTGGAATAATGACCTGCGCGTGGACAGAGTCCAAACCACCTGGCAGAGGTCGGGTTCCAGGCTGAACAGCAGTCCTCAACCCAACCGGCCGCCACAGGCGCCGGGCAGGGCGTCCCGCGGCCACCCCGGTCAGGCCCGCAGTCCCAGGCCCTCCGGCCAGCCGTCCCAGGCCGCCCTCCAGGAGGCGGCCACCAACCCATGTGGGCCCCGGCACGACAAACGAAATCTCCACAGGGGCCTGCCCCGTGACATAAAATGACCAGCCTCCCGCAGCCCAGGACGCCAGGGAGGCACTCCTCACCGCCCGGCTGGCATGCCCCAGGTGCTCGGTCCTGGGAGCTGCACACCCCAGGTAACTCACGTCCTTCCGGCGGCCTGGCAGCCCATTCCTGGCCCAGCTGGAGCAGAAGAAACGGCTTTTGTCTTTGACAGCCGGGCCTCCTCGGGGCTGGCCGCCCCACCTGCAGCGAGTCCACTCCCCAGGAGGCCCCCACCCCACCCAGAGCTCCCGCTTTCAGACAAAAGGTCCCCGGAGCTGCGGGTGGGGGCGGGTCGACCAACACCCCCGGGGGAAGTTCCTAGTCCCGCATCTGGGTGCAGATTCTGGTCGAAAATTCGAAGCATCACTTTGGTTCGCTGTCTTTGTTCGCTCGGCTCCTGGCCCAGCCTTCCCTCGCGTACACCCATCCATCCGCCCATTCATTCATTCCCGACCAGCTCGCTCCCCACCCCTCGCTCCCCAGCGCCGCGGCGGGCGCATTACCGCTTCTTCTTCTGCTTGAGCGACTTCCTGCGTTTGAGGATCATCTCATAGAGCTTGTCCATGCCCTCGGTGAGGCCCTCGCCGATGATGGCGCAGGCCGGCTGGACGTGGTAGGTGGTGGCCGGGATGAGCTCGTGCAGCGCCAGCTGCTTCTCGATCTCGGCCACCGGCAGCGACTTGGGCAGGTCCTGCTTGTTGGCGATGACCAGCAGCGGCGTGCCCTGGTTCTCGGCGAACTTGGTCACCTTGTGCAGCTCCGTCTTGGCCTCCTCCAGCCGGTCAACGTCGACCGAGTCCACCACGTAGATGATGCCGTCGGTGCAGCGGCTGTAGGACTTCCAGAGCGGCCGCAGCTTCTCCTGGCCGCCCACGTCCCAGAAGTGGCAGCTGATGCCCTTGGCCGTGCCGTTGCTCAGCTTGATCTTCTCGGTGTTGAAGCCGATGGTGGGGACCGTGTTCACGAACTCGTTGAACTTGAGTCGGTAGAGCACGGTGGTCTTGCCGGCCGAGTCCAAGCCCAGCATGACGATGTGCAGGGACTGGAAGGCCGAGATGTTGGAGGAGATGTTGCCCATGGCTCTGCGCTGCGGCGCCGGCCACTGCGGC